CGGAGCCTTTCCTCACCCCGTACCTGCTGGGGCCGCACAAAAACCTCTCCGAGACCCAGGTACCGCGGCTCCGGGCGCTTCGCACCCCCGCCTGGGTGTCGGTGTTTGCGTTTCCCGCGCAGGATGTGGGTGCAGGGGGTGACCGCCGTCTTTTCCCCCCACCAGGTATTCAACAAGATCTACCCGGTGTGGACTTACTCCTACCTGGTACTGCTGTTCCCGGTGTTCCTGGCCACGGACTACTTGCGGTACAAGCCCGTGGTCCTGCTGCAGGGTCTGAGCCTCATCGTCACCTGGTTCATGCTACTGTACGCCCAGGGGCTGAGGGCCATCCAGTTACTCGAGTTCTTCTATGGGATGGGTACTGCCACCGACATTGCCTATTACTCCTATATCTACAGCGTCGTTAATATCAACCTGTACCAGAAGGTCACCAGTTACTGCCGGAGTGCAACCCTGGTAGGCTACACGGTGGGCTCCTTGTCCGGGCAGGTCCTTGTGTCGGTGGCAGGATGGTCCCTCTTCAGCTTGAACGTTATCTCCTTAACCAGCATATCCATTGCCTTTGGCACAGCGTGGTTCCTGCCAATGCCGCAGAAAAGCCTTTTCTTTCACCATGTCTCAAGTCAGCAGCTCAGTTGGGAAATGAAGGTCATGGACTGTAAAAATGGATCAGCTGTCCAAGATCATCCCAGTGTACAGAGGGCACCTGGCTGGGAGGATGAGACTAAAGTTCCCTTAAATGGGGAAGGTCATTCAGCAGAGAAACAGGTGAGTTGTGCCCTGGGTTTACATAAGGAGAAGATACAGTACCAATGTGGTTGTCATACATGCATACATCCGTACGTATGTGCATGTATATGTGCATGTATGTACATAGCAGTAGAGATGTAATATCCAACAGCAAAAAGTATCCCTTTGCTTATCCCGTGTCCTTATTTATGGCACAGGAAGATTTATTCCTGGCTTCCTATTGCTGATTGAGCATTGTAGGCTGCTCCTTCGTTTTTCTGAAGTTTATTCTGTCTGTCTCACAAGGCTGTGATTGAAATTCTTTGCGCACCAAATTGCCACTCAACATTAGAAAGCAAGGGACAATGTGGAGCTCTAAAAATTGTGTATATGTCCAAATTCTGTGTGTGCTTCTGTGGTTTGCAGAAAAGAGGCAATTCTTCCTGCACTCCCCTTCTGAAAACACTTGTTACTTTAACTGTTGTGCAATAACCTGTGTAGTAATTAGGTTTTGTCTTAGGATCCTGGAGGGAGACTGGTCGGGAAGAAAACTGCAGTAGTCCTTGAGAGCACATAGAGGCTGACATTGATTAGCTACATACAGGATATGGATAAAGTGTAGGAGGCACCTCTGCACGGTAACAGCTTAATGCAGCTCCCAAGAGCGCCAAGGTAGTGCCCCCATTTGTGGCTTTTGTGGGCTGAGTAACCTCTAGCAAAGTCACTTGTATGGAAACAAGCATGCAGGCACCCTTGTTTGGTGGCAGGACGTATTGGATCCCATATGGTGACAGGAGAGCAGCCTGCAGTTTTGACGCCTGGTATGTGTGGTAGTTGCTTGCTGGGCAGATCTCTGCCTCCCTGCTATGCTGCTCCAGGTAATGGGTGTGTATGGAGAGCCTGTCGCTGCAGGGGGATTCAAGGCCCTGGGGAGGGGCCAGGCTTGCTCCTCAGTCAGGAGGAGGTTGTGCTCGCAACTGAGAACAAGCCAGGAGCTAAAGTGTGGCTGTTGGTTTAGTCAGCTAATGGGTACTCCACTTTGTAAGTAAGCCCCAGTTAGCTGGGTCGGGGGAGGCAGCATCCGGGCCTGCTTTCAGCTTCTTCCAGCTACAGCTTGGAATTAAAGCTATTAACATTCCAGGAACTTAATCCTGCCTCATCCAGTACAATCTTGTGTGAACAAAAGTATTTTTAACCGTGTTTATACTTGCGTGATGAAGGGTATCTGTTAAGAAAATTCTGTGCTGCTGATGAGTAAGGTATATTAATATAACTTCTCCATCCCTTTTGTTTATTCCTATCCTGTGAGAGCCAGAGTGGTTCCACACTAACGGGGAAAACTTTAAAAAAAGAGCAAGTTACGCTTGCATAGCTCTTGAGTTATACCAGGTGCTAAAAGCTGAGAAACACCGGTGTGTGTTGATAGTCCTTCTTACTAAGGTAACAGCAACCATATTTCACCAACATAAATGAATGGCTGCATGAATAATTGAACTGAAAAGGCACTGCCAGCTGCTGGGAGGATGATGGGCCTTCCTGGCTTACCAGGCACATGCTTGGGCTGAATGTGCCAAATCAGGTTTTGCAGCATATATGACAATTGCCTTCACTGGTTTTCCTGTGCCTCAACTTGAGCTTCGCGTGAAACCTTCTGTGTGGGAGTTACATTTCTAAAGTCACATTGCCACAAGCTGACCTCTTCCCAAATTGTTCTGCTGGGCTTCAGAGGAATGGCGTCCACATGCAGAGCAAGCTGTTTGCCATTGGCAAAGCACCAGTGGGACTGCGTGGTCTTTATTAAAAATGCTTAAAAGTCAGTGATGCTTTGAGGGGTGGGAAAAGGGAGTTCAGGACAGAGTTAGGCTATGGTCTTTGGGGGTTTTAGTAGAAACAACTTAAAATCAGTTTTATTGCTCACAGAGAATAGTCTTTCCCAGGTACACACTGAGTGATTTCCCAGAGAAAGGGTGTACTGCCAAGAGCCCGGTGTCTCTGCTGCTGTCTGGAAACTGCTCTAAAACTGGATGTGCAACAGCTCGGTCCTGTGACAGTGCTGTATGTTACCCTTCATGGAATGCAAGTGACAGATGCTGGGTGGGCCCTGGGGGCTCTGCCCACTCTCACATGAACTACTGCTCCGACTTACACAAGAAGGGTTTTGCCTGCCTGCAAAGACTTAGTTTTTGTGTGCATGCAGCAAATGTAATCATCAGCTCTGTCTATGAAGTGAAGGCATGCTTGTTTCCTCCGCTGCTGTCTGCACAAACTAGTTAGAAACGTGACTGTAGCAGCCTGTAAGTAAAAAGTAGTTTTCATCTGTTGTCATCCCCTATTGCTAGAACTCATCTATTTTCAATTTTATTTTTTTTTTAAAACCACTTCATGGGCCTGTCCCCTTTTTTTATGCTCTTTCTAGAAAATTGGGAGGGGAAAGCTTCATTTTCCTCTCATGCCGTTTGTCAGAGCACTTGTATATACATTTGTAATAGCAGTGTCTCGTGGAAGTAGCTTCTGTTTCTCTTCAAATCCCCAGAAACACCTCTCACCTTCTCAAAGTCTTGGTGAACATTAACAGGGGTAGAGTATGGCAAAATGAGGTTGCTTCTTTGAGTATTTATAATCCCTGAGTGCTAGTACTAAAGAAAATATGTTTATTTGTGGGGAAATATACTCATCTGGTGGCTTTCATGTTCTCAGTGCTACCAAACTTGGTTGAATTTGGATCAGGACTTAAAAGTGTGAGTGATGCTATTTTGCCTTTATGATTTGAATGACTGGCTTCTGATTCTGTCTTGTCAAAGTTGATATCATGTCCTGTTCTCCTGTGTCTTTTCTGGCTGCTACCTTTTAATTGTTCATGTGGTACTTCTGACATCTAGCAGTTACTGCTCTCTGCTTGAGAGAGCTAGAGATTGAGGGATGGTTGGAACTGAACCCTTGCTCCCCACATAAAAGGGGATGGCTACTGAGACCATGGGATGGCAAAGCATTTTATTCATGACTCTGTGGAGGTTTGGAGGTTTGTGTCTAAGAGTGGTGCTGTCAGTCACTAGTGATCAGACCACTTGAATGGGGCATTTTTGTGGGGCTATGTCAAGTATTTATAAACAAAGACTAATGTTTCTTTCCCTTTCCTTCTCCAGCCTGTGCAGGAGCAGAAAGTAGACATCATAAAGGTGCTCAAAGACCTCTGGCAGGACTTCCTGCAGTGCTACTCCTCCCGGACCATGCTTTGCTGGTCCGTGTGGTGGGCACTGTCCACCTGCGGCTACTTCCAGGTCATCAACTATGCTCAGGGCCTGTGGGAGATGGTGCTGCCTTCTCATAGCACAGAGATCTACAATGGTGCCGTGGAGGCAGCCTCCACACTGCTAGGTAAGCTTCTGATGTAACTCCTCCTCTGCTGCGAGAAATGCCTTGTGTCCCTCAGGGTCACCAGAGCATGGTTTGGAAGTGTCTTCTGTTTTCCCAAGTATGTAGGAGAAAAAACCCTGGCATTCAGGGTGAGTCTTCCCTGACATGCACGGGTACGGTGCTGAGCATTGAGTTAGTTGCTGTATGCAGCCCTAGTTCTTGTACTCCAGTACGTACATGTTTAAAGGAGCCTCACTTTAAAGCCAGCCTTCATTCTGAAATATTTGGCAAAAGGCTCCAGGCACATGGCTCACTGTGTGTCCTTGGCTGTCGCTGTGGCAGTGGGGTTGTGCTTGGTTTAACCACTCAGTCAAAGCAAGGGTCTGATGGGCTTACTGCTTTTTTTCCTCTGGAAGGTTTCCTGTACATACACAGCACGCAGTGAGCCACATTTTAGTCATTTCAGCACTCTTAAGCAGAAAAGCTATTAAGATGAAAGAAGTCACTTGACTTGAAAGGAACAAGGTAGGTCCGTCAACACAAACGTTTGTTTATTAAGTTGTTTAATACCATTCCGTTACCAGAACTAGGACAATACCTTTACAGAGGCTTTGTAAGTATTACTGCAGTATATTCCCTTTCTTTGATGGAGTCACCATTCCGCCACCTGCTGTGGATGTCACCTACTTGGGAGCAAAGAGAGCAAGGTACACAAACAGGGAAGGCATTCTTGGGCATGCTCAGCCCCCTCTTGGAGTTAAGTGGGACACTGTGGCTGGTTTACAGTTCTAAGAGCTGATCTGCCACCCGTTGTTAGTGGGTTTGAAAATGTTGGCAACTTGATTCTGAAGGCTTTGGCTATTAAATTGTCTTTGGTGTGCTAAACCTGCAGTTTAGTAGCATGTAGTCATACACTGATCCTCCACTGTAGCATGATGCTGTGGCTCTTATTTCTTGTTTGATTTGCCTTCCTCTACCATCCTGCCTTGGTTAAATAAATAAAAGTAGTATTCTTCAAATCTTATTGTAAACATGTTTAATATTGAGGTTTTGGGTTTTTTTTAAAGGCCTGTGAAAAATTGGCCTATTGATTGAAAAGCTGCTTGGCACTAAACTCATGTAAAACTGAAGATTTTACTTTCCCATTTTGATTTTTTTTTTTCTTTTTTCCTCTAGTATAATTTTTTAAATAGCTGAATCGTATTTTTGAAAGCAAATTAGTCTCTGTCCCTGAACTGCTCAAAAGACAGAACTGAAAAATCCTTCTGGCTGACACAGATTCATTGCTTCAAACACGTGAAGTTCAGTGAAGTAATGATCACAACTAAAAGCCTGAAGTGCGTAACAGGACTGGGAGGGACCTGTTAAGGACAAGCATTCAGTGACCGGACTTCCTAGGCAGCAGTGCAAATGCTCTAACTTCTGATTTCCAATTTGAATTTATTAATGAGCAGCTTATTTACCTCAGATGTCATGCCAAAGTTGTATTTTAGCACAAAAATCTTTGCTCTAGGCCAAAGCTGACAAGAGACAAGTTTTTCTAGTTGTTCTTTGGTAAAGTTAAGCTCTTCTTACACTTTGTCCTCTTACTAGTCCCTCTTTGGACTAAACCAGGTCTGAGTTGCATTCCTTTTTTTTTAAGGTGGATGACCAGAGCCGCACTCAGCTTTGTTCAGTGAGGCCTCAGACTCCTAGAAGAGCATACTGTTCACTCTACTCCCTTTACCAGAAATACTTTTTCTGGTGTATTCCAGATCCGATGTGCCATTTTCATGGTGTAGGTGTCTAATTGCAGGACATAGTTGGTCTATCTTGTCATAATTAGGTGTTCGGTGATATAACCTTGAGACATAAGGGGAGTACAACTTCGTGAGTTGCCATGAAATGTCCAGGTGGGAACATGTCTGTTCCCAAATTTCAGAATTGCTGAGACAGTAGAAAGAAGGCTCTAGGACTCGGCTTCTTTTGCATCTTCAGGTTTTGCTACTGAGGGAGCCAGACTTTCAAAGAGCAAAATGTTAATTAGGTAGTGTCACAGCAGATACTGGAAAGAAGAGTTTAGTGCGGCAAAATAAATTTACTTTCTCTTGGCATAGCTGCCTTCTTCACCAGGCTGCAAGATTGATGTGAGCTATGACAGGGTTGCAGGCTTGTACATACTGATGGTCCATAAGGAGTCTTTTTGTGCTTGAAGGATTTCTAAGATAGCAGGCCAGCTAAGAGCTACAAAGAGCTTAGATGCTGCACTGTAGCACTTCTGTACAGTGGTCAAATGCTGAATACAATCCTGTTTTTCAGAGATCTCCAGTAAACCTTCCTTTGTCAGTGTGCTGTTTGTCTAGTTTGCCATGTACAGCAACATTATTATGCTGTTGGTTGCTATTTGGCTTGTTTGCAGAACAAGGCCTGCTTCAAATGGGAATTTTCTTGTAGTATGTATTTGGGCTTCTCAGTAGGTACAACTGTGATAGTGAACAAATTATACCTTGTCTGCTCATTCAGTTGCACACTGGCTGAAATACCACACACTTTCCATCTTGTGATCCATCTTCTCTCCCTGTCGTAGTTTAGACACAGCCAGTAACTCAGCACCATGCAGTCACTCACTCGCCCCCCTTCCCTCTCCAGGGTGGGATGGGGAGGAGAATCAAAAGAATGTAAAACCTGCAGGTTGAGTTAAGAACAGTTGCCCACTTGACAACACTGCAGCAGTCAGGCGCAGAAGGACTGAGTGGCAGTGGTCTGAGTCCTGGGGCTGTTGTGCTTTGAAACCTAGAGAGGAGACTTCAGAGGCTGTCAGCATTGACCTCTGTTTTTTGTTTTGGGTTTTTTTTCCCCTTTTCTGTTCCTGTTACAGTGAATGGGAGTTTTCAGCAG